CTAGGAAAGTCGTTAATGTAGCAACAAAAAAGAGGAGCTGAGATACTTCACCCTTGAGGGACTCCAGAAGTGATGGGCTGGGGACAGATTGGGTGCTTACTTGGGTTAGATACTACTTGGGAACCATCTGAAATGTAGCATTGAAACCAATTGGGCACACTGCGGGAGAAGGATAACGTTTTGAGTTTAGCAAGGAGAAGGGAATGATTTACTGTGTCAAAGGCTTTAGAAAACTACAGGAGAAGAAGAATTGTACTTTTATGTTTGCCAATAGCCTTCTGTATGTCAGTCTAGATTTTTAGGACAGCGGTTTGTGTGGAAAAGCTGGGACGAAAACCAGATTGGAGAGATTCAAAGAAATTTGAAGTTTTTAAATAGGAAGAGTAAATAGACAAATTTTTCTAACGGTTTAGCTAGGTTAGAGAGGATAGATATTGGACGGGAATCATTAGGGGCGGTGAGATTAGAAATTTTATTTAGAGGTTTCACAATCGCCTGCTTCCACGAATTTGGAATTAAATTTTGTAAGGAAAAATTGTAAATATGTAGAAGGACTGGTAGGATAAAAGGTAGACGTACGTTAATGATTTTTATGGGTATCCCGTTACTCCAAACTGCCTTGGTACGGATCCGCATAATCAAAGTAACTAGTGCGTTGGGTGAAATGTATAAAAAGAAGAAACTGTTAGGATCAAATGGAGGGCAGCTAGCAAGGGAAATAGGGTTGTGGGGACCGGAAGATTGTAAAGTTGATATAAAATTACACCTTAATGAATTACTGTTTATTGTGGTTGAAAATGTTTACAATTTGTAGATTTAGTTATTAAACAAGGATATTTTGATCCAATGGAAAAAACAGAATAAAGGAGAAATCAATAGTATTTGAAATATCCAGATGGGTTCAGAGACTCCGAATGCTATAAAATAATCTAATACATCAGGAAGTTTACGAGTCGATTTAAGTAGGCTGAAATTTTGCCAAATTGTCAACAAAATAAGACTTGTCATTGTTTTATCGTCTGAAGAAAAATCCCAGCAATACGGAATTATCCCCTGATGGACAAATTTATTTATTTAGTTTAAAATTAAATCTTTCACTATTAGTTACAGGAAATTAGGAGCTATCGTAGTAAAAATAAAGTATACATAATACTTTGTTTATTTTTCCACAGATTAATTCCATTTGATCAAAAAATTAAACATTATGCCCTTCCATTCTTCTACGACAAAAGATCTCTTTCAATTAATCGTTTTCCTTCGTTGATTTCATTTGATATTATTCTTATTCTTATGGCTCCAGTCAGGCATTTGAGTGAATATTGGACCTATTCGTACAACAGCTCAGAAATGGCCAGGCTTCAATTCGCATGGGAAGATGTGAAATGGACATTGGGAATGAGTTGTCTTTACAGATGAAGTGTGCGTTAGCCTCATTAAATCTTCAGATGGGCGTAATTTCATACAGAGTCGCTCAGGAGAAAGGTACGCCCCATGCTGTACGGTTCCTCAGGTGGGATTCCGTGGGGGTCATTGATGTTCTTGGGTGGCATTTCCTTGGACGCCCGCAACGCATTGGTTGTGAATTTGCTTTGGTGAATTGGTATGCAAGGAAGATCTCTTCTAACTTCATATAGGTACTTTCAAGATATAATCGAAGAACATCATTTGCCTCCCTCACATAGGTGAGAGATTTTTGCAAATGTAGGATAAATCCAGGTCCGATAGAGTACGTAGTTATTTTGGATGACTACCGGAATGAGATTAGAATTGAGTGCATGGTGGCCAGCCCAGGTCCTAACACCCTTGAATAGTTGGAAATGGCTATTCTTGATGAATGGGAAAGAATTCCTCAGGATTTTATCAGAAACGTTTCCCAAGAAATGCAAAGTAGTTTTTTTTTACTTAATAATTGCTATTCTAGTATTAGGTAATACACATTTTCTTTTTAAATGTCTTATTTGTATAGCCAAACCTACTTTTGGTATGTAAAATACGGATAAACCTAATTACATTAAAATTTCAGGGCTGTCCGTTAATTTTGTCCGTCAGTGCAGTTGCTTTTTAGAAACAAAATCTTCTGTCCAATAACGGCCTCCCGAACTAATAAATAATCGGCCCAAGTTTTTCTTACAAATACATGTGACTGAGTTTTTCCGCTGTTTTTTGTCTTCCAATGAAAAGTGGCCTTCAAGTTGGCAAATCACTTCTGGCACAGCCGCCACATTTTTCTTCGTGCTCGACTAGTATTTTTCTCAATTCCGAAAATAAATTGGCATTAATAAGAGCAAATACACTTGACTTTCGTTCATCATCCACAAAGAGAATAAGTTAAAACCGTAGTAACTAAAAATAATTAAAATATTGTAGGTTGAATTATGGAATGTTTAAACAATGGGCGTTAGAGATGATATTATTTAGTTTTTGTAAAATAGTAACTTTATTGTGCATTAAAATGAAAAATATCTTACCATGAGGGAAAACGTATGAAATGAATATTATATAAGCGACTTTCATTTAATAGAATAGTTTTTGTGAAAATGCGAGCGTACGCATGGCTTACCTTACACAGCTCAATCGGTCCAGTCGTTCTTTCAATTTATAAAAAATAAAGCCCAAATAAAAATAAAATAAAAAAGTTTATTCTTAAAGACAAGAGTGTAATAATTTTTATTAAGGTATAAGATTAGAATAAATAAATTTTCCACTGAGCGAAACTACAATAGATTTCCCTTTTTGAACTAGTGTAATCATTTATTATTTTATTTTTTATTTTAGTACTGAATTATATAGACGGCTTTTTGAAGCACGTACGGCATAAAACAAGATGCTGTAGTTCCGGAGATAGGAGCTCTATCGGGTTCTTGCTGTTTTATAGACTTGGCCTCAGGTTTTCTTAGGAGGATTTATTCGGGTAAATTCGACGTGGAATTTATATTCGCCATCCTTGAAGACTCTCGGCCGACATAATGAAAATATTTAACAGATTTTGTTTTATTCGATTTCGTTTACTTTAGCTGCGAACGATTAATTTACCTTGAACGTTTTGACTCGATAGGTAATTTCTTTATCGTTTGTCTTGCTGTTGTAATGCCCCCAGTTAGTAATATTTGCAGAAAAGTCAATTTAAAGGATAAAGTCTGACTATTGTTTAGTTTTCAATTTATTTTATGATAATTATTTTTTCACAATTTTAAAATTTTTACATAAAAATTTCCATTTTTTACCTTCCTCTTATTCTACTAGTCTAAACCCCAAAATGACCCTACGGCTCTACATCTGCGTCTTAAGACCAATGTTGACATGAGCCGGTGGTGTGGTGGACTTTACAGGGCAAAGCGGCGATTAGGCAATTAAGGGTTCCCAAAGGTAAGCATGCATCAGTGTCACTGGAGCCATGAACACAACAACTCCGATCTTGGAGGTTTTATTAAACCTCCCACCACTTCATATTTTAATCCAAGGAGAAGCCATTACATTACTCATAGCCTCATAAATGGACAATCATCTGCTAGGACAGGCCATGTCAATAAACAATGGAAACTGAGGGAGGAGATAAATGCAGATGCCATATTGGGCAAGCCAGTCAATGCCTCAACTCCAAAATATAATTTTACCAAAAAATACCAGGTACTGATACAAGAGCGGGAAGAGTGGGCAAAAGGAACACCTCTAAAGGCAAGTTCCTACTAGTATACTGACGGCTCAGAAACCAAAGATCGAACTAACTTTAAAGGCTTTTCAGTCTGCTTAGCAATTAAACACTGCGCCAGAGAAATAGAAAGGCTATTCGCGGAATATAGTTATCTTCTCTGAGCGTCAGGCAGTACTTAATGTCTTAGCCGCATGCTCGGCGAAGGAGAAAAGTGTATGAAGCTGCATGAAAGCGCCCTAGCAGAAGTCATTGACACAAATGACTGACCCTGGCATGGGTGGGTCCTGTGCATTCGGGGCAAAGAGGCAATGAGAAAGTGAATATGCAGACCTAAAAGGAGCCAATGTGGACTCTTTAGGCCCTGGAACCCTACTGTGGTTTAACATCACTATAACAAAGGATACATCTGTAGGCGATCAGGACAACACTGGTAACCAGGAAAAACCTGAGGAAGGTTTTCCCTGGCTACGACCACTCTTCTTTTACTTCGCCTAGCGATAGGACTCTCGAGAACCATTCCGGACATTTTTCCGCATATAGTAGTCTATAGAACTTTGTAAGTGTGCACACTATCTTTTCCATGTTTATGTTTAATAAATTAGTAACTGTAAGGTTAATGTATTATTAATATTACCCGATAACCGCTACACATTCAAAAATGTATCCTTAATGTGTCAAAAACGTGATGGAACAATTTTTCCACGAATGAGGCAAAGAGATTCATAGAAGGGCTATCCGCAAGGCTTGCAAAGGATTTCCTGCAAGGCAATCTTATCAGAACCAGGATTCTAGCAGGAATCCTCACGTAGTCATGCACGGGATAGGAAAGAAGAAATATTGTACAGATATTGCAAGGAAGAAAATGAGACCGCGGAACACGTTTTGTGAAAGTCTAGGTGCAGATTGTTGCAACAGGAGAGGAAAAGCCGCAAGCAAGACTTTACACTAAGACACCGCTGGAGGTTGATTTAACAACCTGCTAGCCAGTGAATTATACAAAAAAAAAAAAATCCTGTTACCTATAAATTAAGAGTCGCAATTTTTAAATGATTGTATTAGCAAACATAAGGATAAAGTAGAAATAATATATTAAAAAAAGAAAAAAAAGGAGCACAATAGATATACTCAGGTGCAGAAGGCCTTGCGACCGCCTCTTTGATCCTCTTTTATAGATATAAAGCCCTTGGATAGGATGACCAAGATGATCGGCAACGACAAAACCAGATTGATCGTTCGCAGACCCCAACAAAAATCGCACAACACGTTATGAACTTGTTGTTTGTTTTATGGGGTTTTGGAAATAATTAATTTATATTAATAAGTGATAAGGTCATTTCAAAAAGTCAACTAATTTAAATAAATACTTTATTTGGTATAGAACGAATACTACATCCAAAAACTAGTAATTTTTCATCAGAAGTGCACCATAGTCCTTAAATTTTTCAATGTGAATTTCTTCCTGTAAATGATTGCGTTGATTAAGTCAATTAAATCAATAGCAATGATTATACCTGTAGAGTTGTTTCGCGGCTGAAAAGTCCAAATATGCCAGTTTTTAAGGTATGATCCGTCAGGACGGCGGTGTACGGAACCCCGATCGAGTTATTTTTATCGAGTTGTTTCTCCAATTCCTCTTTCCCGAATAGTGTTCGAACAGGGAGTAAACAGTTCAAACCTGCCTTCATTACATCAAAACACAACATTTGGCCCATTTCAAAAAGCTCGAAAGCCAATCGATCGTCTGTGGAAAAATATAGGAAAGGGAAAAATTGCAGGATGATAAGAAAAATGTGAACCAAGGGTGACAAACATTACCGACTGGCGGGGCGGCGAAGGCGAATTTGTAAGGAGCAAACTTCCTGTGGAATCTGCAAATTACTTTCGAATCGTCCGTCCGGTCGTAGGCGTCCAAAAGGTAAATAATTGTCGCGTAATCGAGGCTGCATACGCTTTCAATAACATGAGGGAAAATTAATTCACCATCACAATCAATCTAAAAAAAAAATGCAATATTTAAAGTATAAAAATAATAGTGGTTATTATTTTGATCACACGTTAAAAGGACTGGGCCGGCCACAATTCAGGAAAGGGGTATCGCCTAAAAACTTGACGGATTCAATGTTGTGAACGCCCCAAGGAAAAGTCGCTAGTATTTTCAGCTCTTCTTTATCCGACGTTTCATCTTTTTCTATCTCGCCGAGAGAAAATTTTCCCGGGTCACTGGAAAACTGACACAACATCCTTTTTAAGTTTTACTCGGGGAAAGATAAAAAATAAACTAAAAGGCGGAATACCTTCCTCCACCAACGCTTTCTTTGTTGTGCCCAACGGTAAAAGAACTGTTTCCCTTCGTCTGGCTTGAAAAATCCTATATACCTAAGATCAATCGAGTGTCGAGGATGAAAAATATCGTTTTCCGATGATTTAAAATCGCTGCAGATTTTTCGACAGTCGGCAAGGCCAAACGGTAAAACACCGCCGTTCAATTCTTTCCCGGCTATAAATGCTTCTTTTATATCTGAAATTAATAGTAGTTAAATAAGACAAAATATCAATAATTTCGTTAAAATGAATGGGCGAAAAAAAAAACAATGATTTCGTGGTCTGACTCTGACGACCTACTCTTCTCTTAGAAACATTATACAAGCGTTGCTTCGCCCAAAGAGTTATTCTGTGTCTCCGCCAGTGATAAATAATACTTTTTGGATTTTGGATTTATATAGGCTCAAAACCGCACATGTACGTACATACATACAAACGTGCCGAGTAGAGCCTATTCGCTTCTCGTACTCCACCACCAGCTTTTGCTATTTACACGCTGGGTCAATTTAGCACCCTACATATGGAGTTCTAACCCAACCCCAACCCTCGTTAAATACATTCACTACGTACCATTCATTCAATTAAGGTGATGGAGTTCTCGAAATTCCGCCATCATCGCATCACACATTCACGTTAATAAATACATTCACTCTCAACACAAACTGGTATACACAACTATTATAACTATATTAACTATATAACAACTCCGTTTCCTCCAAAATCGGGACCCAAATATTCGGTATGGTGAAGAAAATGTGTTCCTCAACCACCCTTCAAATAGTGATTTTTGATTTTATTATAAAAACACGATTGTTAATTATTTTAATCGAAATATTTTTTGTTGTGTAGGTTTTAAAGGAGCTAATCTGGTGTGAACAACTAAAGAAGGAATACAACCTGGAGATGGTCGAAGCCGAAATAATAGAAAACAAATAATTGTTATTCTTCTATGATGATTTTCGTGTTTGTTTGTTTCTTCAAGTTAATTTTTTAAGGGATGGTTAGGGAAGCTAATTTTTGTTTATACTTATTGACTTTAACAGTAAATATTTTTTCTAATAAAACACCATCTTGTCCACTACACAGATTCGTGTTTAAACACCTATCACATAAGTCAATCGTTAAAATAATTACAAGAAATTGTAAAGGCTGCAAAAATCGGATGGGAAATAATTAAAATAATCATGCTACCTGGCAGGATTTCGTTCACTGATCGATAGTGGTAAGGAAAGACGTTGTCCTCCCTATAAGAGCTGTTGCCGAAAATCCATTCTTTTCTAATATTTTCTAACAGAATTTCACCCAAAGGGCCGTAAGTGATTCTTTGCACGTTGTTGTTCATGACGTTGAGCTTGATGAAACCACTATCGACGAAATATTTGACAACTTCGTACAGCTGGCGGGGTACGTGGCTTAGACGAAGCATTATTTCTAATTATTGGCTTCTTTCAGCGGGTTTTCTACTTTCGGCTTCAGGGGTATATTGCCAGGCGGTGCGACGAAGTAACCCTCGTCCGTCTTTTTCGCATTGCCCAGTATATCTGGGCGGCAGTTTCCTTCAGTCACGACGTCGGCACGGAGGGGAAGCGATCTGTACAACGGGCATTCGATCAATTCATACGAATCAATATATGGAAAATGTCAATTACCTGTCTTCCAATACGGAGGTTAAGGGTTGTACGCCTTCTGTGTCTACGACGGTGAGCTGGTCTGCGAATCTGATGGCTTCCTCAACGATCCTGACGCCCTTTTCATTACCAAAATCGACGAGAGATATGCTCTCGAGATGTTCTATCAGCTCTTTTCCGATTTTGGTCTCCTTTGGTAACCTAGACGTGTCTATACCAGGGACGGGCGAATTCGGAACTTTACAGCAGAAGGATCTCAACACCTAGAACAAGTCAATCCGGAATTACTTAAAACAGGCGATCAACAACGAGGGAAAACTTGAATCTGAATTCCTTACTCATAATATACAATGCAAACAAACACGAAACAAAGTTACAATAAATCTGCAAGAATTGGGATATTTCCTACAGCAGAACTCCCACTGTAAAAATATCAAAAATACATAAACGGCGATCTTTTTAATATTACGGAAAATTTTTCCGACTGAATGTTAACGAGCCTTTTAAGCTTTATGATAATTAATTATTTCTGGTCGTATATTGAGGTCAAGGTCCCGAGTTTGAATACAAGGCCGCTGGATTCGAACCCGACATACTAACAAATGGGCTTTTTTCAAAAACACAGCAACCCTAGAGTTCATATAACCTCAAAGTTGAAAAAATAAATACAAAAAATCCCAGTTTATCTTTAAGATATTGCATCCCTACCTGGAAAACAAAGTGAACAAAACATTGAGTATAATTATTTTTTATTTTTTTTGCTGGGGCTTCCGACATCTAGGTCATTTCAGCCCCCCACTAAGTCTATATTCTATATTCTATACCCGTTCAAACACAACATTCATACAAATAAATACATCCATACAGTACACTCATTCCGTTTGGTCGGTGGAGTACTTGATATTCCTCCACCGACCTACACTTAAACTAAACTAGATTGGGGTCGATGGGCTACTTTTATAAATATTCCGCCATCGACCCCGAACACACACTCACTCGCTTTCGAGGGGCGATGATGACGTTATATTCACCCTCACCCCTCGCCATTCACGCTAATAAATACATGCACACAGACAAAACATAAAGACACATAACACATAAGACATACTATATACAATAAAAAAAAACCAATTTCCCCTAAAAAGCGGAACAGGGGACTCTGAAACTCGCTACCGTGCTCGAGGACTCTTCTTAAATCCGGCGGCATGCCTACACGCTCTCTGTATGGAGACAAGGCATGACACGCCTCTATTATGTGTGACACATCGAGCGAGTATAATTATTATTTTTATGTAAGGCCTTGGTTGAAACGAAAAAGCGCCACGAGCGGGATTCAAACCCACCTTCGATTTTTTCATTTCAACCAACACCTTACATAAAAAGATGATTAAGTGAAAGAAGTAATTTGGTCAATCAGGCCATTAAACATAATGGATTTAATTGAGTATAATTTCAATAAATAATGACTATTTTTTAGACTGATATTTTGTTACAACCTTCTTTGTAAGTTTAAATTAAAAATTATCACCAATTTAAATTATACAAATTTTGAATATACTCACACACACATGTATAAAAACTAAATATATAAATGTATCCAAACAATTTTAGAAGAACATGATCATACACAAAAATATAATATATAAAGAAAATTTTACCTGATAAGACGTTGATATTAATTAATTAGCATTAATTACAGTAGTGTGTCATTAAATAAAAAATACTATGTTGTTGATATTAGGAAATTGTTTATATTTAACATTTGTATCCATAAGTACAACAATGCTAATTTTTATTGTCATCAATTTGACACAAGACATACTCAGAAGAATAATATTGTCTTAAGAAAAAGATTTCCTTCTATTAAAATCATGCGTATATTTATGACATAAAATTTGCTATATAATTTCCATTTAACTATAGTGATTTTGTAAATTTAACTTCTTTTTTAAAAATTTCTGTCGAATATTTTGTGTTATCTGTAAATTTTCATTTTGACACTGTTTACATTTTGCTTCTTATTTTGTTAAATGTATAGACAATGCAGTATATAACTAACATGCCGCATTGGTTAAGATGTTGACACACTGCTCAACTCTGGAAATACTTTTTTTTTTTTTTTTTTTTTTTTGTTAACACCAGCACTGGGTTCGTATATCCTCAAAGTTATATAATTACCACTTGTAGATAAAATTAATGTACAAATTCAAAAATGTACAGGAACCAGCCACCTCATAGTTGAAATACCCTTGTTCTATATATATATTTACAACTTGTAGATAAAATTAATGTACAAATTCAAAAATGTAAAGTTACCACCCGATAGATTTATAAATCTAGCTGGGCAAGTATCACACCTATGTAAGGTATTGTTTCATAATAATGTAAAAAGAAATTGGACTGAGATGCTTCAATAAAACAGTTCATTTGGACAAGAATTAATTCAATACTTAAGAAAAGGAATATGAATTTTTGAAATACTGTAAGTGGGCATGGGCTTTGAAAATTCTTCAATTATTTAAATAACCCCTGAAAATTTTTTAATTTTTTTGTTTCTAATTTTTGGTTAATTACCTTGTTATTCAATTCAGAGTATTTATTTGTTTATTAGCTATGCAGTTATTTCTGTAGCAGCGGTAAGTTATTGATTTTATTTTGTCTTTAATGTGTTTATTTTGAAATAAAATAATTACTTTACAAAACAGATGACTCAGGAATATATTTAATAACAACAATAATAAGAATAACCCCAAAATAAATCAAACTACCAAACTGTTTGTTTTTACAACTGTTATGATGTTCAATGGAACTTATTATAAAAATATTAAATCAACAAGAAATGCTGAATTTTTTTACTTATGTACTACAACTAATAAATTTGATGAGATTACTAAATTTTATGGTACCTTATTTATTTAACAAAATCCCTCAATCATTAAGGATGAATAAATGTGTGATAAAAATGTAAATCTAATCTCAAAAGCTGGCTACTTGATAAAATATTAAATATAATTTATAAAAAAATAGAAATAAAAATTGACTAACTATTAGGACTCGACAACTCCTCATCCCTTGGGAATCTTACCTTTTTCAATCCTCAGAAAACTAGAGTTGTCCTTATTAAATCTAATTCTCCTAATAATTCATTCTCTTACTAGAGCAATTTTTTTTTTTTTCACTTTCCTTAAATTTTCAATCTGCTCATCACCTTCAAATTGCTCAACATTCCAGCATTAGATACTGTTACGATCTTAAACCAAAAGATTGTATTTCTTACTATATTAATGTCTTCAGCAGTCTTAATTTAGTTTGATAATTATTGACCATGTTCGATTAAAAACTGGCATCAAACTATGTTAGAAAAATATGTCCAAAAATAGTACATTACATACAGCATAACCTTTGTAAACATCAAAGTGCTGTTGGAAAAATTCTGTCAAAACAAAAAGCTTCCTCCCCTTATAAACATAAGGCATACTTAGAGACGGTTAATTTTAATGTTTCTCTAGATAAAGACCTATTCTTTCCACAGTTCACAAAATGTCCAGGCTTCAATTTGCATGAGAACATGTGAAATGGACTTTGGAAGATTGGAAATGAGTTCTGTTTACAGTAGAGATGAAAGTTGCAGCAGTGATTTTGACAGTGTTGGTGAGGGTTGTTCAATCATAAGTTTACTGTGTCTAACACTTCTAGAGTTTATCCACTTCTCCTTTTGTTTTATTTGGATCTATTCTGTAATGGAGGATTCTATATTTGTTTTTGTTATCCCAAGTATAGGTTCGGGACCTAGGTATATAGATAGATTGCCAGGCCCCATATAGCACGTATTTTGGATGACTACCTGAATGAGGTTGGAATTGAGTACTTGGTGTGGCCAGCTTTTGAAGCCCTGATTTGAACACAATCGAACACATTTGGCACCAAATTAAGCAACGAGCAGGATGGTAAAACCCAGGTCCTAACCCCCTTAATAATTGGAAATGGCTATTCTTGATGAATGGGAAAGAATTCCTCAGGATTTTATAACATATCTTTTCCAAGAAATGCAAAGACATTTAATGAGTGTGATTCATGCCAGAGGTAAAATTACTCTGTATTAAAGGGGAGAAAACGTTGTTTTTTATATTTTTATTTGCATTTTTACAACAAGAGCTATTTTTGGAAATAAATACAGAGCAGCCACCAGTAAAATTTAGTAATTCATTTGGTGGTGCTTTTATTTTGTTCATGAGTTTATTTTACCACATTATTTAGATAATTAGAATATCTTTCAAATCAGTTTTAAATTTAATAAACAAGCTCAGTGCTGTGTAATCATTAAAAAAATCAAAATTGCTTTTTTAAGCCAGTGTATGTATTTGAATGTTTGGCTTTTTATGCCCACAGATGAATATCAATTAATGTACATTTTCCTATAAAATAACTATTCAGAAATCGTGAGATGCGGTCTGGTGTTACACCAGACCTCATCTCACGATTTCTGAATAATTATCGATTAACGGTCACTAATCACCACACATTTCTATAAAATAACATTTTTTATTTTTATTAATTTTATATGACTTATTTTATATTTTGATTAAATCAACAAACCTGCGGAAATACTCTCCTAAGAGCGAAAGACATTCCAAGTTGACGGTAAACAACGTGGTATCTGTTATCAAAAGAAAAGAAGGTTACTGCATTGTTATATTTACGGGCTATGTACTGTTTTTTATTTTTATTTTTTTAAACGGTGTGACTAAAAATTTCCGTTTTTTGTTTTAAAGGAAATAAAATAATTTATTTATCTGTAATATTTTTACGTTTATAATTTTTAATTAAAATAATAATAATAAATCTCCAGGAAGACTGTTACCGAAACAAGGGAGGTTTCTTGAGTACAGGTCCAAGTATGCTCTTGGCTCTGTCCCTCCGGAGTTTGTCGGCTTTTTCTCTCGAAGACAAACCGTAAAAGATCGAAGGCTTCCGAGCCGTTGTTAGAAAAAAAAATGGGAATATTGGAGAAAATCTCCGAGATCGAGAAGGAGATCGCACGGACCCAAAAGAACAAAGGTGAGACGAGGCACGGCATGGGACGCGTGGACGTTTCTTGACCTTTTTTTCCAATTTCAGCCACCGAATACCATCTCGGGGTCCTCAAGGCGAAACTCGCCAAATACCGGGCCCAGTTGCTCGAGCCCTCGAAGAAGGGGGAAAAGGGCGAGGGCTTCGACGTCCTCAAGTCGGGCGATGCCAGGGTCGCCCTCATCGGATTCCCTTCCGTCGGAAAGGTGACCAGCAGTTAAATTACTTTATTATGACAATTAAACGAAGATGCTAACTGTCAAGTTAGCCTTCAAGTGGACGAACGATGAGGGGTGGGTCACGAATTTTGACTAAACTTTTTTTGGTGATTCTACACTCCAAAATATTGGACACCACGTTGAGGTGGTGAGGCTCTGATTTCGCAAAAAAAAGTTGAAATTTTCTGTATTTCAATATTTTTATTTTGCCGTTCTACTTGCTCAAATCAACTATATGATCATATCATTTTGCATTACTTTTTATGTGAATTGCAATAAAAATATAGCATAAAATTTCAGTTTATTGATAACCAAAAAATTTCTAAAAACCAAATAATTTTCAAGTAAACTAGATCATAAATTTTGTTTTAGCGCCCCTAGAGATCCCTAAATTATAATTTTTGTTATATTAATTTTATTGTTGGTTAACATAAAAACAAAAATTTCCTACAACACAGAATATTTTAATTTTGGTGGTGACCATTAGTCGATGATTATTCGGAAATTGTGAGATGCGGTCTGGTGTGGTGTAAGTTTCAGAAAAACATTTTCTTTATCGTGCCAACGTTTCGATCTTTATTGAGATCATCTTAAGGGCCTGGGATTTACAAACATTGTTTAAATTTAACAAATACATGTAGGATGTGGAAAAAGTGAATTTATACAATGCAAAAAAAAAATTTTAATATTCAATCAAAGTATTTCTACTCACTCAAAATGTTTGTGTCTGCGTACAAAAACAACAAAAAAGTTCGAACGAAATGCAGACAACAGAAGGTCCTGAAGATGATCTCAATAAAGGTCTTGGCACAAACAACAAAACAATGGCACAATAAAGAAAATGTTTTTCTGAAACCTACATCACACCAGACCGCATCTCACGATTTCCGAATAATTTTAATTTGGTTTGAATTAAAAAGATAAATCAAGAAAATACCTCTTTTTTCATATTCTAACAAATATTCTGTAAGCAAGGTAGGTCTGAAAATGGTGAAAACTTTAAAATTAAAATTTTAATTAAATTAATTAATCTTTAAAAAATATTTTTATTTTACAATTCTACTTGCTCAAATCAACTATGAGAACATATCATTTAACAGCATTTTTTATGTAGATTGCAATAAAAATATATCAAAAGCTATCAAAGTTGATCAATAACCAAAAACTCTAAAAACCAAATAATTGTCAAATAAACATTCTTTTTTCATAAAGCTAATATGAAATTTCATTTTATCATTTCTAGAGATGCCTAAATATAAATTTTTTCTTTAAATTTAAATTGATCGATTTTTTGACCCTTAAATTTTTTCCAATTTTTGAGAAATCATTATCAGAATATTTCTATAAAACACACAAAATAGCAAAATCATTTGTCAAAAATTAACTTTTTTTTTAATGGAAATAATAGTCTGATTTTAATGTTTAGTACAGTTGTAAAATACAATTGGCAATATCTTTAAAAATGAATTATGAGAAAAATTATGTTAGAGCTTGCACCAGGAATGTGAGTCAGGCAGAAAAGTCATTGAAATTATCAATCAAAAAATTAATTTACACTGATTTCCACAAAAGTCAGGATTTAAAGGTTTTAAAATGCTAAAATCACGTCAATGAAGTCAAAATCAAGTTTTGACCATTTTCTTTTGATTTATCAATTTTTTGATCCCTAAAATTTTGCTGATTTTTGTGAAATTGATATTGGAATATCTGATTGAAACAGCTATAATTAACAAACAGCTAAAAGGATTTTAACATCAAACAAACAATTTGGAAGAAGAGAAACAAGCTTGTTCACGATGTATGTACCTTTAAAATATATAAAATATTTCCGTAAAAACAGCAAAATTATTTTACAAAAATTAACCTTTTTTTAATGGAAATAATAGTCAGATTTTAATGTTTGGTACAGTTATAAAATGCACTTCGCAATTACTTTAAAACCATCCCCTAACCATTACTTTAAAAGGAATTGTCAACAATGAAATAAGCCAAGTCCAAGTTTTGACCATTTTCTGACCAATTTGTTTACAGAATGTTTGTTAACATATGCAAAAAAAGTGGCATTTTCTTGATTTATCTCTTTAAATCAAACCAATTTAAAATATTCTGCATTATAGGACATTCTTGTTTTTATGTTAACCAACATTGAAATTAATAGACCAAAAATAATATTTTTTAAATCTACATAACAATTTATGATCATTTAATTAAATTTACTTTATAATTTTAATTAGATCCTACCAAATTAAAATATTCTGCTTCAAAGAACATTTTCATTTTTATGTTCAGCAACAAGAAAATTAATTCACCAAAAATTATATATTTAGGGATCTCTAGAAGTGCTAAAATGAAATTTCATATTAGTTTCACAGAAAAAAATTTATGACATTGTTTACGTAAAAAATATTTGGTTTGTAGAATTTTTTTGGTTATCGATAAACTTGGAAATTTTATACTATATTTTTATTGCAATTCATGTAAAAAGTACTGTAAAATAATATATTCACATAGTTGATTGGGCAAGTAGAACGGGAAAATATAAATATTAGAAAACAGAAAATTTCAACTTTCAAAAAACGTTTTGGCAAAAACAGAGCCTATTAACAAGAAGTGGTGGATACATGTCCGATATTTTAAGAGTGTAGAATATTACCAAAAAAAAGTTTGACCCAAATCCATGACCCACCAACCTTGTCATCCCCTTTTAGATAAAACCCATTTACTTATTTATATATGGGCAATAGCGTATTCTTTTACAATATGTGTGTGTAATGCCTCACAAAAGAAGTTTAAAGTTTATTATCTCAATGTTTCTTGTATTTGATTTTTTGGAGGGGGAGTGGCTGTCGTTTAAAGCATGAGGAACCCAACTTGAGCTTTTTCACCTTCCAATTTCCTAACTAAAAGATTGCAAGAAATTCTTGCTCGACCTTTGTCTTCTAGCCTAGTCTCCATCTCGAAATATTTTACACCCTCTCCGAACAATGTTCTCACTCGCACTATCATCACCCCAGACTTCATTAATGTTTCTGGCCTTTTGGTCACCGACCCAATCGAGTTTAAACTCATAAAACAAAATTATGCGAAACTCACTCATCTTAATAAAGACTGAACTATTCCCAAGTAACAAAATGTTACTGTGGTAAACAAACATTTTTGATTGGAAGAGGATAAAAACTGTTGACATTTGTACAATTGAATATTCCATCAAATGTAAACAGTTTATTATATAGAAGGGTAATTGAAACAAAGCATGAAAACTTGCATTATTTTCCGGACAATCCAGTTAATAGTCGAGTATAATAGCTTCCAGGTTTACAATGATTCTTTCAGACGACTGAAGATCTGGGATTTTTGAAGCACTCACAAACCTTTTTTACTGTCCTTAATAAATTGCAACATTTTCTTGCAGAGTAAACAGAAGACCATACTTATGGTTGAGAGATTCTCTATCATGCTCTTCCTATTATTTTGATTTTTATACTTATCAGATATTACATCCAAAAGACGCAAAGGAGCTTGAAAATGTTCAACAAATTCAATTATTTAAATTTAGGCTTTAGCAGCTTTATATATATTTATAATATATGTAATACTGAGAAAAAAAAATTTCCTACTTTATTAGTCAACATTGCTCAGCACGCTGACATCTACACACAGTGAAGCTGCGTCTTATGAATTTACAACTTTAACTTGTATCCCTGGTGTAGTGGAATATAAAGGCGCAAATATACAGCTTCTGGATTTGCCAGGTATTATCGAAGGTGCTTCCCAAGGAAAAGGAAGAGGGCGACAGGTAAAGTCATTTCTCTTAAAATTATTATTTATTTTTTATATATTGTTGTTTAAATGTCATATGTAGGTAATTGCCGTTGCAAGGACGGCAGATGTAGTTTTAATGATGTTGGATGCGACAAAGCAAGACGTTCAGCGAGCCTTACTTGAAAAGGAATTAGAAGCTGTTGGTATTAGGCTTAATAAAAAAAAGCCCAACATATATTTTAAGGTATTAATATAAAAATCATAAAAGGAAATGTTTTATTTTATTTTTCATTTTTCTTTTAGGTCAAAAAAGGTGGTGGAATTGCGTTCAATTCGACATGCACTTTGACCAAATGTGATGAAAAACTTGTCCAGATGATTTTACACGAATATAAAATCTTTAATGCAGAAGTCCTTTTTCGAGAAGATTGCACTGCCGATGAATTGATCGATGTGATTTCAGCCAATAGAGTTCACCTCCCCTGTCTTTATGTTTATAACAAAATAGATCAAATTTCACTGGAAGAAGTCGATAGGATAGCAAGGCAACCACATAGCGTTGTGGTTAGGTAAATCATTTTAAAATAATATTATCATAAATGAATTACATACTAATTAATATGGGTTTTTCTTTTATTATTAAGCTGTAATATGAAATTAAACTTAGACACTCTGCTTGAAACATTGTGGGAATATCTCGCACTCATCAGGGTTTATACAAAAAAACCAGGTCAACCGCCAGATTTTGAAGATGGGCTCATATTGAGAAAAGGTGTCACCGTTGAACATGTTTGTCATGCTATTCACAGAACGATTGCGGATTCATTTAAATATGCACTAGTTTGGGTTTGTAATTTTGTTTATTTGTACTTTTTTAGAACATAAATATATTATTAATTTTCAATTAATTAATTTTTATGTAAGGTATTGGTTGATATAAAAGTCAGTGTCACGAGCGGGATTCAAACCCACTACCTTCGGCTACTTACAGTGCTGCTCTACCACTTGAGCTGTCGTGACTTTGATCCACTCGGACACCAACTTCCCATCTCAACCCCACCCTTAGAATTTTCCCTCCTTTTTGCCATTTTTCAATATCTTTTTTATCTCAGCCAATACCTTACATAAAGATTATTTAATTGAAAGTAGTTATTTGGTCAATCAGACCACGAAATCTAATGGGCTATATTATTAAAGTGGCTATATTATTTTAATAAACGTTTTTGTTTTAGGGCACCAGCACCAAATATTCACCACAGAGAGTTGGGCTCCAACATATTATGCATGATGAAGATGTGATTCAGATTATTAAGAAATAATATTCTTAAAATAACTAATATATCAAAAATAAAATGATAAAAGAACTGCTCAACTTTGTTTTAGACAGCATTTCTCTAATTTTATTTTTTAATAAAACTACAGAGCTTTACTTCCCTCTTAAATTTGTGCATGGATGTAAATTATATATGAATTTTGTAAAGTAATAAAATCATTACAAATTTTGATTTGTTGTTCCCTTTTTCCAAGTTTGTTTGAATATCAATAAAAAATTTAAACTGGGATTTTTGAAAGGAGTGTAGTATCACTGCAGGACCTATTTCATTTTGCTTATTGGGCAGATATATTTTTAAAGCTTAACTCCTCTTTGGCATCATCCAGCTGGTGAAATGATGAAATGACTAATGACGCTTCCATAGTCCATAGCATCATCCTCGCTGAATGCGTTAATTCTTTTCTGGAATAATTCAATATTCTTTTTATGTTGGTACATGTTTTAATTATTTTTTGTTTATGTTCGATTATTGTTCTTCTTTGTTAGCCAAGTTGTCTATTACTACATCATATTTTTAAAGAGCTTCTTAGAACTTAGATTGAGGAATGGTGCTTTTTGTCTCGTCACGGAAGTGTCTAAAGCTGGGTTTCCACTCGCACGTTTTGCAAAACGTGCCTCGCGTTGTGGATACCTAGCTAGGAATATAAAACTTGGTACAAGGATGTTTCAGGGTGAGCCTGAAGACTGCCTTTCAATTTTTTTTTTTTCACATTGTTTGTTTCTCTCCATGTAAACACACTTGTCTCAAGTATCTGGAGGACTGCATTTTGCTTATCTGAATGTACCACAGCTACCGATTTTTGTGGGATGCTAAAGATAAAACTCATCATAACAAGAATGAGTTCATTTACACTTGTTATCTTGAGTGGTATAGATTGATTTCCTGTTTTTCCCCTGCTATATTCTACTTTGTTAAATTTTTCTGTTGCCTTCATACCTAGTTGTTTTTCACTTATTCTGTGCATGTGACATTGGCGCAACTACGTTAAGGATTTTTTCTAATGGCCTTATGAACTTCGTACATTAGTCAAGGAACATGATTTGTGATGCATTTTTTTTTTGGGGGGGGGGAGAATGGTTGCATGAAAAATGGGGACAGTGGTAATCAAATGTCTTTTTTAAATGTTGAAAGGAATACAAGTTAAAATCACCTAAATATTTGTATTTTGATAATTAGGATTAGTTTAGAACACACCAAAAGTTCAATATACCAATATAAGTTTATCTTATACTTATTAAATAATTGTCAAAAATTTTAATATTTTGTATAATGCAGTATAGCACAATAAAAATACAAAATATAAATAATAATGGTAGCTTATAATGAACATATATCTTTCCATTTGATTTTATCTTTATAAATTACAGTTTAATTAAAATAATTTATTTTATTTATTCTACCTTAAAAACTATCAGTCATAAATTAAAAAATATATGTTGTACTATATTTTTCGTTCTGAGTATTACAAAAAAATATATTTCTAAGTACGTTTCGTAGAAGAAGAATAACACTCAAAACGGTGAATTCATGCCCAATTTTGTTCCAAAATCAAGTCTGGCTCGTTTTTCATATCTCAAATTTGCCCTAAAAAAATAAATAAATTGTAAAAATCAATTAAAGGATATAAATTTGAATTTTTAAAAACTTACTTAATTTCTTGCCATTTGACAAATTCATTAACAACTAAAATAACTAGAGGTGAAGAAAAAGCTAAGGCAATAGCTATCCACGGTGTATCCAGTTCATAATTTTGTCCTTCGTTGGTCAAAAAAACAGCAATAATTGTATAAATAGTTTGAATGAACAGTCTAAAAACAGGAAAAGAAAATAATTAAAAACAATAGCCCCATTAATATGTATTGTTCAAGTTTTGATATTTACAAGGCGACAGAAGTAAAAAGCCAAAATTTGTTTCTAAAAGGGCTCCGTCGCCAGCACAAATACTCCCTATGAACGAAACTCAAAGATACCATCACTGAAAATGTTCAAATAGTAACAACCACCATGATTTATATATCGAACAATAAAACATTACCTAAATGATAGGTGATTAATGTAGAAGCGAAAAGCTGAGCGTTGGAAAGCGGGTGATGATATTTTTCCCACCCTCCTAGAGGTAAATTTGGTATCGGGTAAACGACAGTACATGTCAAATTAGTAAAGGTGGCATTTTGGGCAACAAGGCTTTGGCAATGGCTGCTCAACATAGCGCCAAAAATTAAAGGAACTAACAGAACACTAGGAAGGAACTTCAAACCATAACACCAAAGAACAAATACCGCCACCTGGAAAACAAAAAGTCAAATAATTTTTAATATTGTAGGGAATTTATTAAGTCACCTCTGAATTGATGTATAATTGACTTTTTGGTCCAGGCCTCTGCATGATTTGCGCTGAAACTGGTGAATGTACAAGTGACATCGCAAGCACAGGAATCACAGCACAGCACAACCACATAATCTGGCCTGTGGGAATGTACAATTAGAGAATGAACACTTCCTTGTCTACTTCCAAAACTAATTTTACCGATGGAAAATAAAGGAGGCAACATCGCCAATGTGGCAATGACTTGGAGAACACTAATGGTGAAGACACCACATACCCAAAATTGAACACAATTCCATAGACACTGCATATAATGACGAGCCTACAACATAAGTTTTATCAATGCCACTCCACAGTTTTAAAACAGATATGATCCGTACATGCATTATGAGATGAAAAAGGGAAATTGGCCTTTGTCTTGTTATTGATACAGAACAAGGAAGTGAATTCAGCCTTTGTGAAAGTTGAACCGGCGACACCATATCTGTAGGTGAATTGTAGACGGGCACTTTTTGACAGACTTGAGGGTAAAGTGGCTCAACTGAAACACTGTCAACAGAACACATGAATCAGCCGTGTCAGAAAAAATAAATAAATAAAACTGACCTGGCATTGGCTTGGAGAAAAACAGTGGAATTGTCAGCATTTGCCGAAGATCCCATAACACAAACAGTTTCACCATATTCTTGCATTATACCAATCATTTCCTGTGTCGTTGACGGCGTGCAGTCAGTAAAGAGTGATACAAGAAGTGGAACATTATCAACTTGTTCTAAATGTGGTCTGATCTGTTCAATCCCTCTCGGCAATTTAGCCTAGAAAATTGGCCAAACAAAGAAAAATTAAGGTATTCAATATTAACAACATTTTTGAACATTTAAATAATAAAAATTTACAAATTTATTCTTTCATTTAAAAAAAGGCCTAGTTCTAATTCTGTCCAGTACAAAAATTGGCCAACTTATGACTTAATTCAGACTCCCTGGATATAATTACAAATAGCTTATTTCTTTCGTCTTCACCAAACTTAGAAACAAATTGTTACTTTTTTTAACCCTCGGGGTACCGGTATTTTTGAAAAAAATTCCATAATGCTAGATTTGAACCTGGGTCTTTTACCTTACAGTGAAGAGCACTGTGTCAACACTTAAACTGTTGTGGACTGATGCTCCATACTCATCTTTAAACAGTATAACTAGCTACTGCCCTGAAGATCAAGTTGTCTTGTAAAACACAGGTGCATCCTGGTCAGTCTTTAAATTTAGGCTAATCAGCATTTCTCTGGTAGTGACCCCGTTACGAAAGCCGAACTACATTTCTCCTATGACGTTATTTTGTTTTGACCAACTTTGAAACACTGGATTTGAGAATTTATTGGGTATGTGGTCCTTTAATGCACTGTATTATACATATGAAAACTTGGCATATGTATAATTCAGTGCATTAATTCAAGGAAGACATGCTTAATAAATTCTCACATCCAGAGGATTTCTCCTATGTCAATGTCTTCTTATACACTCAGTTATCAGCCCAACTATGTTTCAAATGTTGTGTGTTCAAACATGTAATCTGATTGGATTCTCGACAACAAATGAAATGGCCACGGAGAGCTTTTGTTGTTTTTTGTCGTCGAGAATCCAATCCGATTACACGACATTTGAAAAATGGCAAAAAGGAGGGAAAACTCAAAAGGTGGGGTTGAGATAGGAAGTTGGTGTCCGAGTGGATCGAGGTCACGATAGCTCAAGTGGTAGAGCAGCGGTGTATCTAGCCGAAAATCGTGGGTTCGAATCCCGCTCGTGCTAATAACTTTTTTATCTCAACTAAAAACCTTAATTAAGTGTAAAGAAAACAATTTAAAAACCAGTTAACTCAGACAATAAGCTGGCTTGAAAGGATGAAATTGAACTGATTTTTTTAATTTTTAAGGTAAACAAGTTATTTATGTTTTAAGTTACATATTAATCATTTTACCTATCATGGAAAATACACAAATAAATACAAGTGCCTTTTTTTAATTATTTTGACAATTTTTATCTCAATTCGTACTACTAAATTAACATTACTACTAAATTATTAGTTTAAAATTATTTTACTAAATCCCTTTCTCCCTTCCATCCATTTTTATTTTTCTTACAAATGTCCAGCTTCAGTGCCAGGTGAAACTTTTTCTTTGTGCTTTCTTTGCATTTCCTTTTCTGCATGTGGCAATTCGCAGATGTTGAAAAATGAGACATTATGTGAATTATTAAGTATTAAAATAAAACCAAAAACTATATCATTGTAAAAGTCAATAAACAATTAAAAAGGAAAACCGTCGTTGCTTTTCTCACCCTCCTTTTCAATAAAAAGAAAACTTAAATTTAAAATTCATACCCGGTTTGACATGTCAAAGTTGATAGGTGCGCTCTGCTCCGTACTGTCTGTGAGACAACTCAAAGACTGCCAGCCTTCCTGCGACACCAAGTCTTCATCCTTATTTGCCCTATAATAACAAATAGAATCAAGTTTAATTAGCACATTCGCACAAATGACACTTCCGATGTAGTGTTTCTGTTAATGGTGTGCTGTGCAAACGTAGATTATGTACCGTGTTGGTTCCGAGGTTTCTTTTCCAATTTCAGCGTTAATTGCGCAAGGTGCGGAAACACTCATATTCCTTGAACCTTCAAGAGAACCACTGTAACATGCATTAAGAAAATAACAAAAGAAAATATTTATATAGGCCTGAAGGATCTATAAAACAAACTAATTAAAGAGTTCTTCTTCTTAATTTTTTTATATTTTTTTTAACTTCATTTTTTTGGAATAATTATGTAAGCAGAGATAATAAATGGTTAATGTCAATATCCGATACTGAAGCGAGAAAAGCTAAGCATGCAAATTATGAAAATTGTTCGATATTAATATATTTTTGAATCAAAATAAATACTATGTTTATGAATTCACAGAAAAACTAATATCAGGTTTATTCTATTTTACCAAAAACCATGCTTACTAATGAAAGGATTTTTATGTTAGATTCTACAATTTACTCAATATAAAAATTTTAACTTAAAAAAATTTAACTTTTATCGTTTTTAATATTTAATTTAAAGAAATATCAAAATTTTATGATAGGGGATAAATGTGGCCATCACCAACCATCACCGCAAAACTGTAAGAAAAAAAGCAAACCATACCATAGGTTGTTTCCTAGAAGTGGTGATATGGCATTCTCCTGGGTCCAATCTTCACCTTCTTTTACCTCTTGTTCTTCACCACTCGGCTCAACAGGCGAATCACTGTTAGTAAAAGAAGAAACACTCAAGACATATTTGTTAGTCACAAAACTGACACTGTAAGCTGTTATAAAAGTGTTTGCCTCTTTTTCAACCGGGGTCTTATTGATGATGATAATTAACATAATTCTATACTTTCTTCAGAGTCAAAAAAGTTTGGTGTATTGAGGAAGCCAATAATAGAAATCCTCAAAACACAAATTTAAGGAATTTGAAGTTAGTGGCAAAGGAAACTATGAAAAAAAGGAAAGAGAAAAGAAAAGTTACTTTAAATTACTGATTTTTTCATCTAACAAGGGATAACCTGGTTGGTGGGTCTTGAATTTGAACTTTTTTTAGGTGATTCTACACTCCAAAATATTGGACAAATACCCGTCTCTTCTTATGAAGAAGGCCCTGTATTCGCCAAAATAAATTTTGAAAGTTGAAATTTTCCTTATTTTAATATTTTTATTTCGCTCTTCTACTTGCTCAAATCAACTATATGAATATATCATTTAATAGCATTTTTAGCCTTAGGTGGGTTGCAATAAAAAAAAAAGTAAAAGCTATCAATTTCATCAGTAACCAAAAAATTTCTACAATGCAAATATTTTTCAAGTAAACTAGGTCATAGTTTTTTTTTTCCTTCTTAAAAATAATATTAAATTTCATTTGAGCACATCTAGAGACCCATAAACATAAATTTTTATTTGAATTTAAATTTATCGATTTTTTGCTTCGGAGTATAAATACTTACTTAAAGGTTAAAAAATTTATTTTTAGCGTGTTATTTTCATTGTTGGTTAACATAAAAGCAAAAATGTTCTATAAATGCAAAGGAGAATATTCTAATTTGGTATCATTTAAAATGGTAAATCAATACAACTCGACCTTTTTTGTATATTTTAACAAACATTCTGTAAGCAAAGGTCAGAAAATGGTCAAAACTTGGTTTTGACCTCATTGTCGTGATTCTAGCGTTATAAAACCCTTAGATACTGACTTTTGCAGAAATTGGTGTAAATAAACTTTTTACTGATAGTTTTGACGACCTTCTTGCCTGACTGACGACATTCCTGGTTCAAGATAACATCATTTTTTTCAAAAGCTAGCGGACTGATTTTCATAGTAGGCAATTCGTTTTAAAGAATTTCTCAGTTTCTTTTAAAGAACTTCACAAAAATCAGAAAAATTTGAGGGGTAAAAAATTGATAAATTTAAATTCAAACAAAAATCTATATTTATCGGTCTCTAGGGGTGCAAAAATGAAATTTTATATTAGTTTCATGAAAAAAAAATTATAACTTAATTTACTTGACAAATATTTGGTTTTTAAAATTTTTCTGATTATTGATAAACTGATGGGTTTTGTATATCTTTATTCCAATCTACATAAAAAATGCTATTAAATGATATATTCACACAGTTGATTTAAGCAAGTATAATGGCGAAATAAAAAAATTTTCAACTTTCAAAATCATTCACAGGAAATGGATAAGTGCTTAATATTTTGAAGTGTGGAATAACCAACAAAAGTTTGGTCCAAATTCGTGACCCACCAACCTAGTCGTCCCATTGTAAAACAAATTTTGTTGTATTATTGTAGGCTATCATTCAAATGCATTGTGATAAATAATTTGATAATTTTGCATAATTAAATCATCTTTAAGTTTTATAATTAATTTTTAAATTAAAAAGACTAGATTGATAAACTGAATGTTAAATGTTGGTACTTAGGAATAGGAGCCCACACCTAATAACGTAAAAATGATAAACAATCACCATTTGATCTTCTTAATAATTATTTGTATTAACGGCAATATTTCAACAAATTTAATTACCTGCTCAAAAGTGAAATGTGACAATTCCAACCACTTTCTAAGCCCATTTTTTCTGAAAACACTCTCGACCTCAATTCATTTTCTTTGCTAAAATGAACGAATCTTATGCATGCCCTTTCTAACTGTTCTATAAGTTGGACCTGAAATTTAAATTTTTGTTAAGTCCCCAAATTTCAATTAGAAGATGAAATAAAATTTAAATTAGAAGATGAAATACGCACCATTTCGATCTGGGCCTGATACTGCATTGTTACCATGCCTAGGAAAATCTGATTGCATTGTATTTCAAAGCAGTTCTCGATGTCTGAGATTTCACCTTCAATGCCTTCTGCCCCAAATAATGAGTCTAAAACAGTAAAAAAAAAAAAAAAAGAAAAGAAAAAATATTAAATGCAAAATGACCATGCAAGTACCAGTTGATTGATGAAGATTCCAGTCCAAAGGTGTAGGGCTTCTATTTTTAACATACAAAGTGTGGCTATCAGCGGGTAGCTCCATGTACACATGAGAGAGCTTTGAATTAACAGATCTTCCAAGAGGACGGTACGCAAAAGCTGTACAGTACGCAGTCAAACTGGTCCTTTGATAAAAATCTAAAATCTTTTTTCTGAAAACAAAGCCGTCATAAAACAAAACAAAAACAATAAACTAAACTGGTATTAAAAGTTTAATATTCACCTGTCTGACGAAGAGAGAGTCCGCAAAGTTGACCCGTCCCAAAAGTCGACACATGAATCCAATGCGATGTCCCCTGTTGCTTGTGAAAACAGCTGAAGAGAATTCGGTGCATTGACTTCACCGATTACAACGGCAACCATGTGTGGAAAAGGGAGTTTGAGCTTGGTGGCAAGTGCGAGTGACTTCGCAAACTTAATATCCCTCCGCACAGTCTCTGGTTGCTGAACACGAACAGTTGTCGATATTAAATAACAATTTAAAAAGCTCAACATCGTAGTACTCACAACGTGACGAAATGTGGACAACTGTTCAAGAAGTGTGTAATTATTTTTAGCATTTTCAGTGAAACCGATACGTTTTGATAGTTCACACAAGCATCTGAAAATATACTGTGTAAAATCACTTACAATTTAACTAGAAATGATTGCTTTAATAGTTCATTTTCCCAACCATCCAAAACTCATAGACGCTACAAAAGATATAAGATGTTAGAACATGCATAAATTAATCAATAACATTTTTTTTAAACAATTTTTGTACACAATTTTATGACAAAAACAAAAACAGACTAATTTAATTGTAGGCTAAATTTTGCATGCATCCTTTTAACAGATTGTTCCTAAAGTAACAATAGAAAGCCTGTTAATGTGTTAATAACAGTGAAAAAAAAGTTTATAACAAACTAACTTAAGAGAAATTGTCTGTGTTTTTCTTATATTTACAATTCTCTATTTTCCAATAATATACAAAGAAACAATAAATTTGAGTAATTTTTTCCCCCTTAAAAGCGTGTTTTTAAGTTTAGAATATCTCGCCTGGGCAGATGCTTTGGCCAATGATCATCCATTACACAGCCCAACTTCTGGGTATGCTACTCTTTATGATCCATATTTCAATAGATCGATCATATTTGAATACTTTCCAGGTAGTGATCAAATGGGATATACAATGACTAAAGACAATCATTTTATTACTCTTACCGCACTATGAAACCGTCATTTAATGGCTTCTCTGATTGGTTGTCACCATGATGACCTAATTTCTAGGCACATCAGGTTCACTACAACTGGAGTGGCATTGAGTAGAAAGGCGTCATTTGATAATCATAATGATTATTTACAAATCAGCATCTTGCTAGGACATTTGATGAGGGGCTTCTCTCATAACAGACGAGTGCCGGTTCGGTTTGTGGGCATGAAGAATATACTTCTTATTTCATATCAGATTCAATCAGACATGCAAGCCAGTTAAAAATGTGAAATGTGTTTGTAAAAAATACACTTTCGGAAAAGTATGTTATAGTTGGGCTAGTGAATAATAAAAAAAATGAATTTCAGATCTCTTTTAATTTGTTTTGTATTAAATGTATGTTGTAATTAATATAATGATTAAAATACATATAGTTTGAAAGAAAAAATGATATATGAGAGTCCAGTTTTTGTCTTTAAGTGTAATGATATGTCATTTTACAAACAACAACAAAAATCAACCTTCTGACAATTAAATTTTCAACTGTTTTTTTTTATTTTTTTTTTATTGTCAATTAAATAATAAGCAGCTATTAGGATTATTTACAGGACATGCTAAAACAAGGATCGCAAAAACATTGATGCATCCGAACAGGGTTTGGTTAACGACTCAGGACCTCTATGAGACGAATACCCCATGATGGCCTAATGATCATGGCCACCATAATCCTGTAGCAGAGCGGTTTAAGCCCCAAACTAACTATATTAATGGATTTCAGAGTCTGAGATTAGTTGTAATATCTGCATGGAGGGTATTATTAATTCCTGCTCATTTCCTTGCATGAATGTTTAGATATTAATTTTCTCACTCAGAAAGTCTTAACAATATTTCATTTTATTAAAATTATAAAGACAATGTAAGTCCAAAGTTTAAAAAAATTTCTGTAATAAATTATCTGTTTTGTGAACTATTATTAGCTGAAACCCTTATGTGCACATTGCCCATATACTACAAATTAAGCTTTTATTATTTTTAAAAAAAATTTCTTAGAATAAAAAATAAAATCAAAGTATTTCCATAAAAATGAAAAGTAAATAAAAGGTGTTAGGTAAATATTAAGAGATAACACACAGACTTTTCTTAAAACTTCATCAGCTTACAATTTGCATGTGCTTACATCCTTTATTTAAATAGACTTATTGTGCAATGAAAATCCCTCATTACAAAGAGATTTCTAATGTGATGGTCTATAAACTTCTAACAATTTAATACTATTAAAGCAAACAATTTAATACACAACTAGTACATACAGTAAAACATTCAAAGATCAATACATGACATTCACAAGGGTTCACTACAAAACAAAGTTTGTTCAATTTCTACAGTTGAGTTATTTAATTATAAATTTGCAAAGTGTATTAAGTCCATACCTTTTTGAAAGACTGAGTCCGGCATAAGTAAAATGAAAAATACATGTTAATATTCACGAACAACAGACATGCTACACAGACAAGGATAGTGTCATAGTATCATAGAGAGGAAATATATCTAGCTTGATAAATAGCTCCATTTACAAAGACCAATATTAATTTCAAATGTGTCTAAACCTTAACCGAATGATATTTTGCGTTTTTGCTTAAAACATTCAAATTTATTATCAAAATAGTATTACTTATTGTTTGAAAACATTGATGAGACTTCTTTAACACAAGGAGGACACCTGAAATTATTAGTTTCAATTTATAATTTAAAACAAAACGTAAAAAAAATCCAATGGTTATATAAAATTCCAAACTTGTTATCAATCATTCAAAGGATTGACAATTGATTACCTTCTATTAGTTACAGGAACGAGATCTTCATTGTACAACGCTTCACATGTAACATGGGAACAGAACTGTATATAATGTTCTTGTGTTGCCATGTTGCATGTGTTCAAAAGAATTGCAAGTCCGATCGGCTTCAGTGATCCAAGATGCTCTTGCCATTTAGTATCGTCGAACTCAAGTTTGAACGGACAGGAAAGATCGTGTGTCAAATCTAGGACTTCTATCGACGTACAAGTTTCTAAAAAAATATATTAAAAAATAAATAAATTTACAAATGAAGAACAGTCAAAAATGAAAAACTACCTTGTTTAGAAAGTTTCCTATCTTCTTGAACAGGAGGGTCATCTTCAAACACATCATTATCGTCAATGGTACCTTCTCCAGAGGGGTTTCTAAAGAAAACCAGTTAAAATATACGAATACATGGTATTAAAGGCAATAAAGCATACCGGCTGGGTCCAGATTTTACATTAGAAGTTTTCAGAATGAATATTTTTTCAGCAGTTGGATTAGGCCAAGAAAGAATCCCTTTCTTATCAACACAACACAAGGCCTATAAAATAAAATTTTGAAAAAATTGAATTTTTTATGTATTATAATTTTAATAATGGCTTACAGTGACTGATCCCAGTATGTGTAAAGGGTTGGAAGAGCGTGTGAGAGCGAGAGAATGTTGGTTTCCAAACAGTGCGTGTATAAAATGCTGTCCCCATTTGATGCCGACAGTGAAATCCTCAGTTTCCTCTGCAATTGAGATATCTTCAAAAGGGTCGGCAGTGTGGCAGTTCTGCACCTGACACTAGACATCCGGCCTGTATTATTAGGGAATACAACACAATAAACACACGAACACTGAGGGCAGGACAGCGAGCAATAAGGAGATACCTTAGTTGCCGATGTCGACTGAAGGAATGCTGACAATTTCGCATTTCCCAGTGTGTGCATGGCAATCCAGTAGAAAGGAAAGCAGAGCGGGAGGAAAGGGAGACTCACACTGGCCGGTATCAAGAAAAACATGACGCTCCAGTGGCCAGAACCGATCCACTGACTGGCATATATATAATGCAAAAGATTCACAAGGATCGTAATTATCTACAAATAATATTTATAAATTTGATTTTTGTCTCAATGTATGTAATTAATTATGTTGATCTGTTAAAAATAAAACCCCAGTTATATGAAATTCATACATAAAAGAATGGAAGAGCGAAGTACTGCAAACAGTGAGACATAATCAGATCTCGTTGTCTATCATAGCAAGTTATATTTTTCTTTTTTGAGGCCTCCAATACTTCCTTGATGTTCCTGATTAAAGGTGTTTCTTGAAGTACGAATCTTTTGTTACTGAAAGGAACTCTCGCTGTAGGCATCGTGATATGATCGTGTTTCTGAGGAGGGCTGTAGATTTCGCCCGAACTTAAAAACATTCTAATGTTATCCTTTAAAAAAACAATTACATAAATATATCTAATTATTGTTTGTTACATTCTGCTGGGACCTTTTTCTTACCACATGATAACAGTTTCCTGGGGCTGGTTGACCAGGCCTTAATATAATGACATCACCTCGACACAAAAGCGCCCAAGGAAGATTAACAAGTTTTCCATCTCGATATGTCCATTGCAGAGTGATGCAAGGTGAATAAGGAGAACATAAATGTGGATAATTGTCATGCCTCCAAACGCATCTCTCTTTACATTCTAAGAAGAAAAAAAAATTAAATCATTTTCCAAAGGCATTTTTATTTGACTTATACCATTAATAAATTGAAGAAGGCTGTTTATTCTCTCAGGGATTTCATTTTGTCTTAACTGGTTTTCCCAACATATCAAAAAAATATTAAATATTCCTATAGCAATGACTAAGATCCCATCACCGATTAAATTACCGTATCTGTGGATGAAATAATGTAATATAGAACAAGTAGGATATTGAAAAGCAAATATAATCCTTAGACATGCAAAAGTCTCACAAAATGTCTCAACAAATAAAAAGCTTCATAAGCCAAAACTTGTTCATTCTCTTGGTTAAAAAAATATACAACTTACAGATTTTTTTCTGCATAAAATGATGTTACAATTATACTAAGCCCTGATACAAAAACAAAAAAAGCTGATATGCATGAAAATGTAGAATGTTCATTCCTATAATCCAAACTCTCCTTCATAAACTGCCATCTAAAATAATACAGTGATAACATACAAACAATTATTGATTAATTTTAATTAATTACTTTGATGGCTGGGGTGAGTGGTGGTCGCTCAACGCCTTCTTTATGTCCTCATGGAGAATCGTCAACGCCTCATTCGTCGTCTGACCAAGGTTTTCATCCCCCATCATCCTGCACCATTATTTATATACCAGGGTTCAAAATCGTCTGCTACTTCATACCCTAGTGAATAAAGGTTTAGATTTCAGCTTATCAAATAACAAGTTATTTTTACTTAAATATAATCTACTTTGTGATTTCACAGTGATAGTTATTAAGAAAGAAAGATAAGGAAAGATTTGTGGGACAAGAATGTTCAGCCAATTGTTTTAGCTTCATTAAATTTTCATTTATCAAATTATAACATCATAATTTAACCCTCAGTCATCTTTTTGCAAATCATAATTCACCTATCAAAGATCATGAATAAATTCTCAACTATTACCTTCTTTTAAATCCATAAAAATATACAAGGTTCTTTAGTTCTTTTTTTAAACTGATATAAAGTAGACTTATTCAGATCTACAAATTTATGAACTCAAATATTATATATATTATTAATCAAATGATTTCAATAAATTTGTATATTTAAGTTCATTTCTTGAATAAAGTCATATGCAATATGATCAAATCATAACGTGAAATAAAACAAAATAGATCAATGTGTAACAGTAACTATCACTGTGAAATCACAAAGTAGATTATATTTAAGTAAAAATAGCTTGTCATTTGATTCTGTACAGGTTAAGGTTTTCATTCGAAAGTTTCTCCCATATTTAGAATTTCCGATTGCTCTTCAAGCACTTGGCTAAAGAAGGGGGAGAAAATTCAACTTTGTACATAGATTTTCAGAATTAATGTGTATATTGTTGTAATTATGGTATATATGGTGGTAATTATTATATAATATATATAATATATAATAATTTATATAATAATTATTATATAATATATATTATAGTATATTGTGGTATATTATAATTATGTTTAAGGTTAAAATGAGTCAGTCTCTTTATGATACCCTGTGACAGTATTGTGCAAACTCCATTAATATTTAGAGGTTTAGAGGGCTTTGATAAGCTTAAGGCTTTTTACAAGTCCCAAAGCTTTATAAAGGGCTCCCGTGTGTATTCTTCAGGCCTTGGAGTCTCCAGGGAGAAGAAATCTCAGCCTACGTAGTACTTTGCATCAACAAAGGACATGCTCCGCTGTTTCTTCTTCTTCCTGGCAATATCTGCAATGCATGTTTCTGCAGCTTGGAGTCTATATAAATGCTTCCGGAGTCTAAAGTATCCAGTTATTAGCATATCCTAGGTTTAATAGTAACTTTCACCTAATCTATAATCTAAAATGGAGCAGGTGGAATAAATTTCTCCTCGTAGGGATTGATGCTGATGGAAATCGACGAAGTATAGGTTCCTCCAGTACTGCAGCCTTCTGGCTTATTATTATATTATTCTTAATTGCTCAATTCAATCAAGGCAACTCACTCGATCCTTCTCCCAAGGTGTACTAGGTCATTGACTGTCGTTGCTACAATTCCTTTCACTGAGTTTTTATGTATTCCAGATTAAATCTCCATCGAGTGGTTGCTTCACAATTAAATCATATGTGCTGTTTCTTCTTTGGTATTGCGGCCATCCAATCTACAAATTGGATCAACATTGAAATCCCCATGTTTTCTCAGATGCCAGTGACCAGTAAATATCCCTATCACTCCTTTGAGTTTTGCCCTCTCTAACTGTAGCAGTGAGTTTGCCAGTCTTGTTGAGGGTTATTTTAGCCTGAATTACCGTGTCTAGCACTTCTAGAGGCACCACCACTTCTTCTTTTCGATCCATTCCATGTTTTGTTTTTTCCCAAGAATAACTTCACGGCCTATATATGGCCTTGCGGATCCTCCTCTGGCCAGTATGACTGCTTTTTCGTTACCCAAAATTCCCTTGTGGGCTGGTACCAAAGATATCATCAGGTTGTTTATTCCCACATTTAGAAAATTTACTTGAGTTGTTGCTAGGCGTTCGATGATAGGGGTGGCTGTTCTTCCTCCTCATTGCATAAACTACAAATGGGGTCATCATTAAATATCCCCATGTTGTGTACATGTTTTCTCAGATGACAGTGACTGGACTCCTCCAACTGCAGTAGTGGGTTTGCCAGTCTTGATGAGCATAAACTTACTATATCTAACACCTTTAGACTTTATCCTCTTCTCCTTTTGCTTTGTTTGGATCCACTCTGTTTGTTTTTGAAATATCAAGAGTAGGATCAAGGTTTATATATGGTCCCCAATCTTCCAATATCAAATTCACATTCCTGTTCTAACTGAAGTCTGGCCATTTTCTGAGCTGTGGTAAGAAGAGGTTCATGAGCTGGGTGCCTGAGATTATTTTCATTGAACCTTCTTCTTAGTCCTGGAGGAAATCAAAACATTTCGGACTTCCCTTATCAGATTTCTTATTTCATGTCCTGTAATGCTGTAGTTTCATGGAGCCTAATGATGGATGAATCTATTATCTCTCTCATCCATAGAAGTATATCACCCCTGTCCTAGCCTTCAAGTGTGAAGCCGTGTTTTTCTGAAGTGCTAAAGAACCATAATGTTATGACCAAGACACTGACACTTACTCAAATGACTGACTGGAGCCATTGAAAAAGGTTTAAGAAAAATCATTAACTAATGGTCACTAAATACCACACATTTCTACACGAGAAGAAATAAGAATAATATTACTCCATTTATATTTAGTGGTCTAATTGACCAAATTACTTATTTCAATTAATTATTCTTTTTATGAAAGTTCTTGGTTGAGATGAAAACGTTAGTGTAATGCGTGGGATTTGAACCCACGACCTTCAGCTCAATACGCCGTTGCTCTAACCACTTGAGCTATTGTGACTTCAATCCACTTCAATGTCGTATGTTTGAATCCCACTTGTGACACTAACTTTTTCATCTCAACCAAGAACTTACATAAAAAGAATAATTAATTGTAATAAGTAATGTGGTCAATTGCACATAAATGGATTAATATTTAATAAGTAAATAAGTATCACTTTACTAACAGCTCCCCGTAGCCATAAGTCGCTGAAAATTGTATCCGGATTATACAACATTTGAAAAATGGCAAAAAAAAAGAGAAAATTTGAAGGGTTGTAGGTTGACAACAGAATTGGTGTCCGAGTGAATTAAGTCACGATAGAGCAGTGGCGTATTGAGCCAAAGGTTTTAGGTTCTAATCTCACTTGTGACACTGACTTTCATTTCAACCAAGACCTTAGATAAAAAGAATAATTAATTGAAATAAGAATAATATAAAATGAAAACGACAAAGGAAAAAGATTAACTGAAAGCTATCTTTAGGCGTGGCAGAATGGAAGGGCATAATGCAACTTTTTGAGCAAATAGAATTAATTAATGGAAAAGTAAACAAAACATTATGTAGTATATTTTGATTAAGATAGCTCCTGATTGCCTATAATTAATATAGAAAAATAAGATTTAATTTTAAACTAAATAAATTGAGTGGTATGTTAAATTTTTCCATGAGTGTATTTACAACGGAGGTCGGTTTAGCAGTGTTTCTAGTTCAATTGACGAGCTTGTTTTCTTTGCTACTGTGATATATACGTTTGCCAGTCTTTGTATGCTGCCTAATTTTGAGTAGCTTGTTTTTGTTGAAATTTGGCACACCAGATTGGTGATCCATATGCTATTGGTTCTTATTACTGCTTTATACAGCCAATGGGCCATATTCGGTGTTTTTCCTAAGATGAAACTGTCATTCGTGAACCAGATAATTTCAGCATATTAAGTGTAAATTTTTAACTGAATTAATATACTCGAAACCCATCAGATCGCAGATATAGGAAAAATATGGATAAAAATCTACAACGTTTTTGTTAAGATTTTCCGCAAATTCACGTTTGTTTTTATGCATTGAAAACTATGGATTGCGATTTCTTCGTGCATTCAATTTGGCCGGATTCTCACCCTAAACTGGATCCAAAAATCGGGCCTTTAAATATATTTTTTCTTGGTTTTTTTAACGGCCCCCCGTTGAAAAAATTCACCTTTGAAGAGTCCAAAATACAAAAAATAACTCACTTTTAGCGTTTAGCGTCGGCCAGCCCTCGGGAAGCGTCCCTCAATACATTTTTATAATCAGAGTGATAAGAGGAGTGGAAACCTTAGCGCTACCTTCGACTTCGACCCGATCAGCTGTAAAGTGTAAACTAAGCAGCGAAACTTGGCTGGATCGATGATCCGCCGGCAAAGACGGTCAAAGTGTCAAACAGACCAACTGCCCCTCAAATGTTAAAATATCTCTTCTTTCTCTTTGAATTCCCTCCATAATAAGTTAATAAAATTATCAATTAATGTAAAATATTGATACAAATGTCACTGACATTTTATATATTTTTTATTTATATTATAATCGGTGCATAGGGATTACATCCTTTACAGAGTGAGTTCTATTATTACAGATATAGAAGTATAAATATATACGTATAAAGTATTAAGATAAGATAATTATAGTACAAGTAATACAAAATGATTATTCAGAGTTCGTGAGATGCGGTCTGGTGTGACGTAGGTTTTAGTAAAACATTTTCTTATCGTGCCAACGTTTCGATCTTTATTGAGATCATCTTCAGGGCTCAAAGTGTTTGTTTTCTGCGTAATTGTGCCATTCTTGTGTGTCGTGATGAGATTCACACCAGACCTTATCTCACAATCTCTGAATAATCATCGACTAACGGTCACTAATCACCACACAGTAATACAAAATATTAACATTAGTAATAACATGTAATAATAACAATAATAATATTAAAATTATATTAAATACTAATAATAACTGGCCTTATTGAACGAAAGAGAAACACCTTTTCTGATGATCAGGGTAGAATTCTTGTACATTTCAAATAGCTTTCCCAATTGTAAAGTTTTTTTATACCGATGGGTCCAAAAATGAAATTGGTGTAGTGTGTGATATTTCCTGATGAGTGATGAGTACAACCTCAGCTGGTTTCTACAGAATGAGGCTTATTACTAAATTATTTTACTATTCTTAATTCAAATACACAAATATTTCTACTTTGTGTATTTATCAATGTTAACATCTTGCATAATAGTTTATATGATTTCTTGGTTAATGATGTTTTCTTATATTTTGACCTCAACAGTTAATCTTATGATTCTTCCTTCTTGAAGGTGGGATAATAGGTCATCTCAAATGATGTTCATGTTTCTAGTCTGAATAAGTACCACACTGGCTCTTTTTTTTAAATAAATTGTTATAAAATATTAATGACTGACGACCATTTTTTTAACCATTGCGTTAACTCACCTTAGGAAGGATTCAAATAAATCCGAAACGTTGTGGATAAAAACTGGTTGTGGTTTTTTGAGATGACGTATTATCCCACCTTCAAGAAGGAAGAATCATAAGATTCTTGGTTAATGTTTTTATTTCGTAATAGTTGTATTTATCCTTATTGTGTTGTGTCGTTACAAAATAAATATTATACATAATAGTAAATATTTGTGTTAAATCACGAATACCATTTTTTAATTTGTTTTAATTTCAATAGTCTTCAAAATTAAACTAAAAATTTAAAAATATTTATAATTTTTTAAAATATTTAGGTGACTTAATAAATATCATATGCAATCTATGTAGGGGACGACCAGGTTGGATTTGGACCAAACTTTTTTTGGCGATTCTACACTCCAAAATACTGGACACATAACCGCCACTTCTTGGGAATAGGTTTCGCCAAAAAAAAATTTTGAAAGTTGAAATTTTCCGTTGTTTTATATTTTTACTTCGCCGTTTTATTTTCTCAAATCTAATATGTGAATATATCGTTTTACAGCATTTTTTATATATATTGCAATAAAAATATAATAAAAGCTAGCAAAGTTTATCAATAACCAAAAATTGCTAAGTACCAAATGTTTTTCTAGTAAAGTAGGTCAAAATAGTTTTTCGTGAAACGAATTTGAAATTTCGTTTTAACACCTCTAGAGACCCCTAAATATAAATTTTTGTTTTAATTAAAAAATTTCTATTTTTTGACTCCTAAAATTTTTCCGATTTTTAAAAAGCCGTTATCGGAATATCTAATTGAAACGACTGTAATTCCAAAATGGCTAAAAAGATTTTAACGTTAAACCGCTTAGACATTGGTTGGCATCCGGCAAAAAAATAGTGTAGTATGAAGACCAGTAGCAGTGCACTATTAAAAAGTGGAGCCGATAAAATATCGGCCGATATTTTATCGTACGACAAATGTCGGTGAGTGTGAAAGAGGCAGAAAAATAAAGATAGCGCCGGCACACGCACCCCAGTCCTGGTACACCGAACCGTTGTTGACACCGCAGAAATCACAGACCCAATACAGTAGATGGCGAAATGCCGAAACGTGTCTGACAGACCAATACCGGGTTAATCGCTAAATAAATTGTACATAAAAATACCCTCTATATTATTCCACCTATTGTATAATTCGTGGCAATATTTCTCTATGTCATTTATTCTTTTTTTTTATTTTTTCGTAATTTTATTTCATTTTTTTTAACAACAATGTCCAAACAAATGCTACTGATTGTGCCTGTGTTTTTACAAATAAAGGTTCTATTAGGTTTGCATAATAATTTATTATGGTTTATGTACCTCATGTAAAATTTAATTGCGCTACGCTGGAGCATACACAATGCGAAATTGTCGACGCTTTGTTAAACCGCGTTGAAATCTCGCATGCATTCCACGAGCCAGAAAAAAAATATATAGAAAATGCATTACAACTTTGTCAAATAGTACTTAACTATTATGAATGAATGATATTTATTTTCATTAAAATACAATCATAATTACAAAAAATATTTATATATAAAAAAACTACACTCTACAAACTATAAAATCGAACTCTGTCCCCATTCTTTACATTTAACCGTCATAGGCAAGGTCATCTGCTAACTGCTTACATTTACATATAATATATTTTACCTAATTAAGCTTTAGTTTCTTTAGAAAGCCCGTTACAAAATTCCCGAAACAGTGTTGATAATAAAATATATCATAAATTTCTGTATCTTTCGGGAAAATTCTATCAGGGTTTTGCGAGAAATTAAAATTTAATAACGTATCTACGGATTTGTTAAATATATTCAACGATCTTCCAATTTATAATTTAATTATTAAACATCAATATTTATGTTTTCGAATGATAGGAAATCCCGTCAGGAGATTAACTGAAGGATTAGACCCGTTAGATTAAGAAATAATCCTTGATTGTTTTGACTTCCTGGGGCTGGCGATTGGGATAACACATTTGAACAAACATCGGGAGCTAGGAAATATTTGATGATAAACTTTTGATTTAATCGATTTTAGAAGGGTTCATCTGTTTTCAATTTTGGCCTTTCTTCCGAAGACAATAAATCATTTCTGTACTCTTCTAAATTTTTGGCATTGTTTCTTATTACGTTTGATAATTAATGATATTTCTTTTATTTGAAATTCCGTGGATTACAACTTCGACGACGAACACTATAAACCTAATTAACAATAAAAATAACTTGTCGACAATGAACTAATTTTTTTCATCAAACCAAAACACAACTTTTTTATTCTCAACAACTTGACGTCAAACGTCATTTTAGACAATGCACTAATTTAAAAGTTAGCAACCAACACTAAATGTTGATACTTAAAATTAGTAATACTTAAAAAAGAATCTTTTATTTACTTTGTAAACTGGCGACCATATAAAAAATTCTTATAGTAAAATTTCCATAAAAATTTAATTTTTAAATTTTACTTTTAGGATTTTATACTGTATTGCTACATGCTTGCCATAGTCAGACAGCATAACGTCAGGGTTGTAAGCAGGGAGAGACAAAACGCGCTTACTCCTTCCATATCTATTGTATTTTGCCTGAATCAAACAGCAGCGGTAGCTTGTGGTGTTATTCATTGGTTTAATGTTATTTTGGGCAATTTATTTTTGAAATAATAACCTTTATACGCATATATTTTGAGCCTTATATAAACTCAAATAATTTTCTCAAACGAAAACCATGAGCTTTTTCGAAATTTCTAGTGAGACCTTAAACTTTTGAGTTACCCAATTTTCTTTGTTGAGTTAATCAGTTTTTTCTAATATTCCCTTTCCATAACTTCCAATATATTATTTCTAAAAGTTGGCCTGACTTTAAGTACAAAAAAATAATTATAGAGTTATAAAGGGGGACCGCGTTCGCTTAGTGGTTAGGTCGTCCGATCGTATTTGTCACGATAGTGGTTCTGGGTTGGTATTGTGCCATAGCTCTTGAAACTTTATTTGAGATTAATCTGGAAAAAGTATTATAATGTGGTTTGATACTTTGTCCGCGACAACCAAGGGGGTAATTGGACATTAAGCCCTCCTGTGTGACAGGAATTACTTTAATATTTTATTAAGAACAATAAAGAATTTGATTTTACCGCGTATATTCTTGAAATAATTCTTATTTAAAACATTCTTACTTCGGATTATTTCAGTATTATTTAGGAGATTGATTCGATAAGATGTATTTTCTTTGTACAGAATGTGACGGCCAAATGACACGACTAATCAGAATCGGAAAAAGTTAGCCACCAACCCTAACCACCCCCGCATGCCAATATTTTATAAAATCGGGTTCACGAGGGCGACTATTGTCTATAAACGTCCGAACCACTGCTTATTTCCGGTCGATGTGTTTGAAAATCAATTGGAGAACCAGTTCGAGTTGATTAGATTTCCTGTCGTTGCGGACAAATCCGCTTGCAGTTACCCGACGGTTAATCCCCAAGTGATACACATTGGTGAACATCAACGGAATATAGATCTAAATTTTCTATTTGTAAATAAAAATAACTAAAAATATTCTATTATCAACAACATGAAAATTTATCTATAACCAAAATTATAAAGTAAAATTTTTTAAATTAATTTATTGGACACTATTTTCTAGCCTTCGTACGAATTGTTAGAAGTTGGTACTTTATTGAGTAAGTTGGTATTTTTTATTCACTGATCACGAAGGTCATTGCGTAGCCTCGTTGGTATGCTTTTTGAAATTAAACTAATATTCCATCGTCCTTAATCGTCCAGCTCTTCAGCGTATGCCAAAAAGTTGTCGTTATCCTTTTTATAGTTCCTTGTTTGTTTTGTCTGTAGATTTTTTTTTTTTTTTTTGTAAGGGTACATTCAGGAACAAGACAACCATTTGATTTCAATGTTTCAATAACATCCATTTATTAGTGAACGTTTAGTGGCAGTCTTCTCAAATGGCAAATTGGGAGGTGGAAATTGACCTCATGACTCCTTGATGATATAACAAAGGAATTTAATGGCGAAGAAAGATACAAATTTACTGACATCTTTTGCTTTGACATCGTCGAAATAGGCATGCCAGGTTTGTAAGTTTATTTGTAAAAAAAATCATTTTATTATCAGTAGTATAGCCATACTTTCCATAACTGACAACTCGCTACCTACTTGACGTATACTGAAATTGAAAAATACCACATTCCCTTAGACGAGATGGCGGATCTTGGAAAAAAACAGAAGACGAAAAAACACGGCTATACCCGGAGTACTTGTACAATGAGTTCACTCCACATCCCAGCATGCTTGACGCACAGCGAAGTCGAAGCTGAATTAGATAGATCTCGACCACTTGAACTTTCTCCTAAAGCTTTTCCCCATGCAATGTTATGACCTAGAATAGAATAAAACAGGCGTTTATTTTCAAATATACAAACACTGAACTCAACATACGGTAACATACGGTTCTTCCCATTCACTCATCCATCGTATCCGGGCAGGAGTCCCCCAGCGTAGAGTTTGTTCGCCAGCAGCCAAGTTCAAAATGGCGCCGACGAACACCACCGGGAGAGAGGAATTGAAATTAATAAGAAGATTGTTTCGGCACCAACGGGAGTGGAAGATTCCCGATTTTAAGAGGGATGTAAGTTTAGAAATGGTTAAATGAATGAATAAATAATGAACGAAAGGGTAGTTGAAGACTCACTGTTTAATGAAGTTTCTATGGCTTACAAAGTGGCAGATGATCGTATTGGAGATATGAAGGCGATGACGGTCTGAAGGCGATGAAGACCGGGAAGCGGTGAAGGTCTCCTGAATGCGATATCGTGCGTTGTTTGGCGATGATTAGGCCGGTATACCGACCTGGTTCCTGCAGCGTCGTTGATGATGATGCTGGATGATGCAATCCAGTAGCGGTGAGGATGAGACGATGCAATCCAGGTAGTAGCCAATGAGATGATGGAGTCTTCGCGGGATTATAATGATGGTAGATGGAAGAAGGAGATGATATATTAAGGGAAAATGGCGATGATAGGTTTGTGGACCAAGCGTTGTAGACGTGATCTCCTTTGACAAAAAACAGTATTGCCCGGGTGTCTTCTACATTGCGCAATCGGGGCTGGAATGTAGAGATGTTGTCTAAACTCAAAGGCTTCCTCCCCACTGCCTTTGAGTCACCTTATTCTAACGTTCTACCTTGCCGAGTGTTATTCCTGGGTAACATAAGGTTCCACCCGTTCAATCATCCATCGTGCCCGGGCAGTAGTCCCCCAAGGTAGAGTTCGTGGCCCAATTCTTTACTTAATATATATAGGGAAAATGGCGATGATAGGTTTGTGGACCATGCGGTCGTGAGATGGGACGCACGCGGAGGTGAAGATCGTATGGCGATTTGCGGGGGAATTCGTGGTGAGGAAAACTTTAAGAAGCGGCGATCTTACATGGAGGTGAGTTACTATGGCGCAACACTTTAGCGGGATAGAGTGATAGGACGTGTGCTCGCTCCGAGAGCTGGCGGAGGAGAGAGCCCGAGAGGGCTGGAAGGGATGAGTTTTTGAGGAAAAAGGAGGGAAGTGTGTAACGATTGGTGGATTTCTGAAGATAGCGGTTGTAGATAGAGGGGTACAATCTACGTCGCAAATCGGGCGCTTCGGTGGCGTAGACGCGCTCGAACAGAGTTCTTAGCCTAATCTTTTACTTAATATATACTGCTGACATCTCTAATCACCCCATTCACATGTCTACATTTGCAGATGACACAGAAATATAATCATAGTACAAGCTATTAGGCATGCCTTCATTCTGTCTGCCTAGTTGATTCACAGCAAAGATTATCCGCCAAATTCCTAAACGTGTCCTTGTCTCCTTACCAATCTGTCTAACTCCGTCCTAAGAAGCACGTACTTCCCAACACTATGGAAATTTGCCTCAATTATTATGAATTCGAAATCCAAGAAGCTACTACACAACGTCTCGTCCTAAAGTCCCATGAGTCTCCTTCCTTGATGGGAATGACGCTTGAAAAGCTGCTCATACAAGGACTTTAACGAATACTCAATTCCCTTCATCTAATCCCTGATCATCAATTTAGCTTCCGACTTCAGCACTCTCAAAACAACCGCGTTGTAGACGTGATCTCCTTTGACAAAAAACAGTATTGCCCGGGTGTCTTCTACATTGCGCAATCGGGGCTGGAATGTAGAGATGTTGTCTAAACTCAAAGGCTTCCTCCCCACTGCCTTTGAGTCACCTTATTCTAACGTTCTACCTTGCCGAGTGTTATTCCTGGGTAACATAAGGTTCTACCCGTTCAATCATCCATCGTGCCCGGGCAGTAGTCCCCCAAGGTAGAGTTCGTGGCCCAATTCTTTACTTAATATATATACACTGTTGGCATCCCTAATCACCCCATTCACCTGTTTACATTTGCAGATGACAATGAAATCAGTATATCATGCTGTCCGTTCGCAATGATCCTGTCCTTACTGTTCGTTTTCTACATTATAACCTTGAGCCTTGGCTAAAAAAACGGAGGATAAAAATAAATAACAGTACATTACCAAGCGAGCAATCCTTCCCCCTGTATAATTTTTCAATAAATTTCAGATAAGTGGATCCGGTGAAACTGTCAGGTCTGCTGGCCGGTGAGGTGACAAGTGGGAATTTAGTAAAAAAGGTCACATGACATGATAGAGGAAATCCATTAGCAAGGGGTGCGCGGTGTCAAATGTCCATGGGCCATCTCGGCTATCACCGGTTGGAATTTCAGAGGCGAATAAATCGGACGAAGAAAGTAAATCTCCACGAGGTGCTTTCATATCGGGAGACACGCTTGCGCCGGCCGGTCGTCACCACAGCCTCACCGCTCCCAACCTCGGCCGCCTCCCAGTCTCGAAACCGCCTCCGAAGAGTTCGCCCCCAAAGTTTTTCCACCTCGCGTCGTCATGGATGTGAAACACGCGGATTCTACAACTGACCGTCTATGTAAGTCCGATCTGGATTATTCCATTTTTCCCGATAATTTAACACTAAAACCTTTTTGAATTTGTAAAAAAACATTGACAAAATAAAACAGACATATCAATTCAAAATTTAGAGTATTTTTAACTCAATAAATACAAAAACTATATCCATATTTATTTGTGATGAAAGCACACCACTGTTTCTTTATTACTATTTGAAATAACGTGTTTGCATATATTTTTTTGTTTTCCAAATAAAACTAAATTTATTATTAATGTACATGATTCTCAGCAAATTAAATCCTGTCGTAAATAACTCGCGTTTTTATATTATTTTGATTAAAATTTCCGGTTTAAATTATAACATAATTGCTTGTTAAATAAAACAAAAACGGATTTTAAGTTTAACAGATTTTAGTTACTAAGTAAAAGACTGCTTTTAAATTGACAGGAATTACTTTTCTTTTCATTTGAAATATTGAAACAGATGATTACTTATCAACAATAAATATTAATTACAATTTTATATTTAAAAACGATAAAGCCAATTAAACCTAAAATCGTTCCTTCGTCGAATTTTCGACGAATATATTCCATTATCACTACAATACTACAATTATTATAATATTTTTATAAAAATGTTTCTGGATTATTATGGTTTAGTTTGTGTACTTTCATCACATTTGAAACATCACCCAAATATCAATAAATATATTACGTAAGATCAACTACATTTTGACATAGTAGTTTTCATAGAAATTATCGTTAATAGTTTTACTTTAGTTTTGAAATGTAATTCTTTCAAAAACACAAAATTGAAAAGAAAACATCTACATAATTCAGGTTTATTTTCAAATTGTATTGAATCATTAATTAATTATTTTCAAATTGAAAAAATGTAGTTTAAGGAATAAAATTTGAGTAAGAAGAAATCGGTTTCTTCTTCCAGCTTTCAAAAAATGTACCCCGTTCATCACACTAAGAAGCTATAGTTTATAAATTAAAGTTTACCAAACATACACATCTATTTATAATTAATTATTATAAAAATTCATGTAAATTACGGAATACATTATTTTAAATATGAAAGCAGGAACGGTGATTTTCTTTCTATTGCAATTTTTATTCCGCATGTGTAATTACCTTTTCCAGGAAATACGGTTTTACATTTTGAAAACAGTCCTGAATCAAATCGAATTCTGTAATTTTCTTGAAAAATTAAATGAAAAAACTATTGCTACCAAATTAAAGACAGTATACTATAAAATATACTGCTTATGTCCAAATGTAGAGGTGGGTGTCCTCTTTTAATGACATCATTGTTGATATTTGGAAAAACATTCTAATATGGTGAAAGTAATAAACTCGCAGTTCTACAGAAACATTTATTATCAAAGGTTTTATATTTATATATAAATGTATGTAACAAATGTATATAACATTCGTATCAATGTTTCTTCAGTTTAGGCGTTTCCGTTCATTTTGGTTAGCCTATCCTCGCTGTTTTGGTCTGTCAGTTTTTGTTTTTCCCATTTTTAGAGCTGTTTTATTTTTTATATTACTTTTTTCGGTAGCATAGCAGGTACGGCAATTGCCGGTTCTTAACGTTTTGTCTATCACGCATTTGTTTTATTACCCCTACTGTGCACGCGCTGGTCGGTCGCAATAAAAATAAAATTAAATACAATAAAAATACAAAATAAAATGAAATACAAAATAAAATAAAATACTAACTTGTTAACTGTGTCTTGATTTTCTCGACAACCAGGGAGGAGAGCCGTTTAATAGCTAGAACCTGCAATAACTCTGGCCAAAGGTAAAACAGAATCCTAGTCTATTAATTACCTTCGGGGCTCCGTCCGAACACTGTATGATGTGTCGCATTAAGGATGCGGGAGGAGACACTTGCGTTATTTTGAACTCGATAATTAACAAAACGAAAAAAAAAATGCTTCTTCAAAATAAGAGAAAAAACGAAAGAAAACTAAAAGAAAATCACTCTTGGAGGCTAATTAATAGTGGACTGTATGGAAGCGAGACGGAAGCGAACAGGACTAGAGCAGGACTAGGCAGCAACAGGAACTGATTGTGGGGAGGGAACAGATCTAGGATAAATTCTACATTAGCGGCATTTCGGAAACAAAATAAACAATTATAATTCACGATTTTTGGCGCGAACACCTACCTTTTATGCTTAACCCTTCCATACATGATTAAATGTCCTAAGTCAACTACAATACACATTCATCTTATTTAAAATATTATTTAAACTAAACCTACGTAAATTTGGAGGGGGAGGGGTCCAAAGTGTTGTCCATATACTGCTGAGACCCCCAGCTCAACAACTACAAAATGCACAGTCGATTTTCACCTTGACGCCCTTTCTTCATTCACAACTACAAATACATGCCCAGTGAAAATCACGAATTTACTATCCTAAGTTAACCTATTTGTTTCGAAAGGTCGATAATATAATTAATAAATAAATATAATTAGTTGTTATGTTTGATAGTGATGATTTGTGGAAATAAGAGAACAACAGTTGTTAAATGTTTTAATAGGTTAATATTAATTTGACAGATGGTTTATTTCGATATATATAATCGAATTATTTATTATACAGTGACCTTTTTAGATGGCCCGGCTGCATTTTTATTGAAAAAATGACGCTATCAAAAAAAAAAAGTTTATACTGTTTTTTATTCTAGATTTAAATGTTTACCTTTTTTGAAGAAAGATTTTTTCAGGGTACCTCAGGCCCAGTTCAAATTCAAAATTTCAAATACGACTCTATACATCCTGATACATCATTTTAAACTACCTTTTATGCTGAAAGCAATTGGGCATTCGGATTTTAACTTCATCAAAAAATGACAGTTACGGAAAAAAGTTTGAAAAAACGCATTTCTTTCATAATTCCAATAATTTGCTTCTTCACTAAGGTAAACAGTAATTGAATTTATTTTATTCATTCTGTCATTTTTTTAAATCAAACTGGCATTATGAGAGAAAATCTTAATTCCTGGAAGTGAATAAATTTTACACTAGTACCTATTCGTTACATTCAGTGACTCGTCGGCCCATCGATTCTGCTTACATGATCGGCGGCAAAGATAAAACTGCTTAACTAATATTCAAGATTTATATAACATGGATTGTTAGGGTTGGCGTAGAAAAAATAAATTTAAAAAATCTAAAAAAAGTGTGCATATGCCCCAATTTCAAATTTGAGATCATTAACGATAAATTCTAATTTGGTCCAAATCGTTGTTGAATTCAACGAATCAATGATTCAATGTTTTCGTGAACCGGAGGAAAATATGCGAGTGCTAAGTGCGAGTTTATTATAGAAGAGGCTTGGCTCTCCTCGAAGGAAGAAAATCCGTAAGTACAAATTTTTTCTTAGCAAGGCGCTTGAAACCCCCTACACACGACAAGCCTGTCGTGCAGGTTTAGCGTACAGTAGCGCCGTATTCCTACTCACGCTTACTTTAATTTTACTTTTCTCCTGTTTGACGTATCGACATAATTGAGATTTTTATTAGCAATAATAAAGGTGGTCATTTCGAGAGACGGGTATGTAATTTATTCAACCTGATGATGAGTGTTTATTGCTTGAGGGGGTTTAATTGGGGGTCATTTGTTTGTAGACTATTCTGCGTTTAGATTAATATAAATAAATTTTTAATTAAAAAAACAATGGTTGAAAAAAATTAATCTAAAAATGACAATGAAATGAATGAATAAATAGCAAACAAAACGATTTTTTGCCAAACTTTTGCCATAATTTTGTTTAATTATTAGATTAATTTAAAATCCGATTGAACCATTGTTTTCAACCATTGTTTTTTTTTTTTCAATTAAAAATTTATTTATATTAATCTAAACGCAGAATAGTCTACAAGCAAATGACCCCCAATTAGTGATTTTGGTTCACAGTAATTACTGATTAATTACAGTACGACCATGACTGAAATATAGTTTAAAAAACATCCTTTACCATTGTGTACGGTACGCTCCTATGTCGGCTATAAAAATACTGTTTTATACATTATAAATCAATTACCTTCATGGAGTTTTTTTAATGGAAGGTTGAATAAAATCATTACATTCTTTTTTTCGTAATATCGAAAACTTCAGACATTTTGAAACAAAATTTTCACTTTTTTTCATTTTTTCTAAATAAATGATGGTTCTACTCACAAATTTGTTGTTTATAACGGATCTTGATTTCAAGCACTAAACACTCATCATCATGTTGAATAAATTACAAACCCGTCTCTCGAAATGACCACCTTTATTATTGCTAATAAAAATCTCAATTATGTCGATACGACAAACAGGAGAGAAGTAAAATTAAAGTAAGCGTGAGAGTAGGAATACGGCGCTACTGTACGCTAAACCTGCACGACTGGCTTGTCGTGTGTAGGGGGTTTCAAGCGCCTTGCTAATAAAAAATTTGTACTTACGGATTTTCTTCCTTCGAGGAGAGCCAAGCCTCTCCTATAATAAACTCGCACTTGGCACTCGCATATTTTCCTCCGGTTCACGAAAACATTGAATCAGTGATTCGTTGAATTCAACAACGATGTTGATCAAATTACAATTTATCGTAAACGATCTCGAATTTGAAATTGGGGCATATGCACATTTCTCGGATTGGTCCACGCAAAATGACGGGATTTTTTAAATTTATTTTTTCTACCCCAACCCTAAAAATCCATGTTATATAAATCTTGAATATTAGTTAAGCAGTTTTATCTTTGCCGCCGATCATGTAAACAGAAACGATCTACCGACGAGTCACTGGATGTAAAGAAAAGGTACTATTGCAAAATTGTGTTTACTTCCAGGTAATAAGATTTGTTCTTATACCGCGAGTTTGACAAACAATGACAGAATGTAAACAATAAAAACAGTTAATGTTTACTTTAGTGAGGAAGCAAATTATTGGAATTAATAACGAAATGCGTTTTTTCAAACTTTTCTCCGTATTTTTGTAATTTATTGACCAATTTAAAA